CCCCGCCTCCCGGGTCTGCTGGCTCCCCCAGCAGACCAGGGAGACTGGGAGCAGCTTTTCTCGCCCCGGAGGAGGCGGGTGGCGGGACCAGGCGTCCCGCCACTCCAGTCCTCCGGGGCGAGAAAATCCCCGTTCATATCTGCGGATCCGACATAAGTCGGATCCGCGTAACTCGGGGACTGCCTGTACTATAAAGCCGGGGGATTTTTGTTTCATGTGAATGTTCTCATAGGCTTTGCATGACTGAAAGCTTCAGTCTTTCAGACTCTGGTACAGCCACAAGTCAGCAGATATACAGAAGCAAAAAGTAACTGTGGTTTGGCAAATGATTTTTAAGAGAATGCTATGACTAATGCATGGAACAGTACAAATATGCAATGATGAAATGGAAACTGTGATTACAAAAACTGTGAATGCTGGAACTGGACACTTTCTTAGTCAGCATATCTGGTTCCTATATTTTTGAGTTGTATGTATTCTGGTTGTTTTACTGACAAAATAAGAGCTAGTGCAATTGGGTATGTGCAACTGTGACAGAGAACAGAGTACAGCTAACTCACATTTCAATAAACCTGCCTTCTAAGCTCTAATTTATTTTATTTTATTTGCACAGTAAAAAGATAAAGACACCCATCCATACTACTAAGCACCCTTAACAATATATAGAATTCAAAATATTCTAATTGCATTGATATTACACTTCCATCCATCCTACACAACTCCTCCAATCAACAATGAGTATAGAATGAAAAACATTTCCTGCAACTCTGTTAGCAAAAGAGGCAGAAAAATAGCTGATCTGCTGGAACTTGTCTTGTTTTGGGTTTGTTTGGGGCGGAGGAGGAGCTTTCATACTCCAGCAATTGGTGCCTAATTAGATTTTTCCCCAATTCTGATTTTCACAATGATAGTATTTACTATTTCTGAAATGTCCAGAGTAAAATGCTTCCTAAATGTCATTGTTACATAAAAACTCTGTTTTAGCAGTAATATGAGCTAATTTTATTCTTCATAAGCTGATTTACAGTAGAGTTAAGTCATTCACCTTTCAGTGGCCTTATGTTAATGAACTTGTGAACGTTTGTGATCCTTTGGTATATTAGTCTTATGGTTATTTCTAATACTGTAACGTGTTTTCAACACTCAGATTTATTCTCTACCACCACATGAGGGAAGAACTATTGCATTTATAGCTACAGAGGTACTGCTACTTCACTTTTTAAAATGTGAAATATACTCAACTGTTCTTTTACATTTTCTTTACTCCTTCTCACTCGTAAAGATTATACTCTTAATAAACAATATACCGTGAAATAAAGGAAAAGGGGGTAAAATGGGGTTGGGGTAACAAGGGAAATAAAAAAAGTCTAGAAAAACATGTTTGTATTATTATTCTTTTTTATGTTATAGGTGACAAATTCAGATCTCTCTTGGGGAGAGAGCTACATGATTGACAATATAATACACTGTATGTTGTAGTGTTACAGCAGGATACAAAATGAGATGGAGGGGCAATATTTTCAGTTTACATGTATTTTTTTCAAAATATTCCCAGAGGGAGCCATCTGATCCTTCATATTGTCCCAACTGCCTACCTAGATTTAGAATTCAAAACCTCCAGCTAATTAAGTTCACTCACATGGGGCCTATCCTTCATCTTCCCCCTCCTCCTTCTGAATTAACTACAATGCTGGGCCCATGAATGCAGTTCTTATATAGAGCCAGATTCTGATTTAGAAAAATAGTTGTTAATTTTGGTCTGGAGATTTAATCACATGACAATCTATAATTAAACATTAACTTTTTAATTCCTGAAGACTCCGAGCCAATCCTGGCTAGGAATGTGAATGATTAACTGGTAAGCATCATTCTTACCAGATGATGCTTACCAGTTGCAGTTAACCAGTGAGGGCTGGAGCAGCCCCCCACCTGCCCCGGCTGGGCACTGCTCCAGCGCTGCAGCTGGCTGGAGTGCCCACCCTTACCCATTTAATTGGCTAACAGCCCTATTTATAGTGGGGTTATACCTGATCTTTTTTTCTTCTTTTCCCCCACTCGCGAGTTTAGTCTGGTTAGGCCGCTTCTAAGCACCGCTCCCCTCCCCCTTTTGTTCCTCTTTCTGTAGGTAAATCTAGAAGTGATACACTTGCAAAATGAGCAGCCCATTGGTGCCGCTTTCTCTTCTCCCTCTTATGCTCCTGCGTGGCCCTCGCAGCGCCTGCCAGTGAAAAGGCAGAGGTCTGGCGCTACCGAGCGAGGCGCTGCTGGCCCGTGCGAAGGCCAATGAGCAGCCCACACTGAGCACGCTCGGGCCGAAGAGTGCCAAGCCCGACCGGTCCGGGCACTGGCTCGCGGTTCAGAGCGCGCCGCGCTGGGAAAGGTCCAACGGGAACCAGCGAGTTCCCCGGCCCGTCGCAGCCAATGAGCAGGCGACGGGGGTGGAGCTGGCGGGGGCGGATCACAGCGTGCGGCTGCTCTCGGTGCATTGAAGGGAACCATCCCCCGGGGAAGCTGGCGTCCGTCTCCCTGTGTCGCTACAAGGGCGGCCGGCGGGGAAGGAGCCGCGGCAGGGTATGGGGCGTGCCGGGGTTCCTCTTGGGCAGGACCCAGCACCAGAGCGTCGCTGCTCCGCCGGCTGTGCGACATGACCCAGCTGCTGCGTGCCGCAGCCGGGCGAGGGAAGTGGACCAGATCCAGTGCGGCCAGGAGGGCTGCGTGCCTGCTAGCTGCGGCATACGGGCTGAAGATCCTCTACCCCGTCCTCCGCAAGCGCCTGCAGCAGACAGCTTGCGAAAAGGGCTTGCAGGCTGCCTGCCGGGCCGGAGGGGGCGAGGAGCCGCTGCAGTGCAGCCGGATCCGGGGCAGAGCCTCTCCGGCAGTGAATGCGGAATTTTTCAGGCAGCTGCTGGAACTTCGCAAGATCCTCTTCCCGAAGCTGGTGAGCGCCGAATCGGGCTGGCTCTGCCTCCACTCGGTGGCTCTGGTCTCTCGGACCTTCCTCTCCATCTACGTGGCCGGGCTGGATGGGAAGATCGTCAGGAGCATCGTGGAGAAGCAGCCCAGGAGCTTTGCCATCAAATTAATCAAGTGGCTGATGATTGCAATCCCTGCCACTTTCGTGAACAGCGCCATTCGGTACCTGGAGTGCAAGCTGGCCCTAGCCTTCCGCACTCGCCTAGTGGATCATGCTTATGAGACCTACTTTGCCAACCAAACTTACTACAAGGTGATCAATATGGATGGGAGGCTGGCGAATCCCGACCAGTCCCTGACCGAGGACCTCATGATGTTCTCCCAGTCGGTGGCACACCTGTACTCCAACCTGACCAAGCCCATCTTGGATGTTGTGCTGACGTCCTACAGTCTTATCCAGACTGCCAGGTCCCGAGGAGCAAGTCCTATTGGGCCTACGTTGCTAGCAGGGCTTGTGGTGTATGCTACAGCGAGGGTGCTTAAAGCGTGCTCACCCAAATTTGGCAAGCTGGTCGCTGAAGAAGCTCACAGAAAGGGTTATCTGCGGTATGTCCATTCTCGGATTATAGCCAATGTGGAAGAGATTGCCTTTTACAGAGGACACAAGGTAAAATGGAAATAAAGGCGAGGACTAAAATCTGAGGTGGTTCAAAACTGTTGCTGTATTACTAGATATGATCTATTATAATCCAGAAGAAAGCTTTGCTATAGTTTAGATGACAACACAGTCTTTGACATAGTAATTGTATAGCTAAGAAAAGTTGCAGTTACTATAGTCCTAAAGTTGCTGACATTCAGTACAGTATTTGATCTGTTCTTTTTATGCAACAGATAGTTTATTTAAAAATCAGTATATCGAAGACTTTTTCAAAATTATATTGTGAATTTTGACGGTAATGTGTTTTTTTTTTTTAAAATGGCTTTTGAAAACATTTCACATAATGTGAAAAAATAGTGGGAAATGTTACTGTCCTTTCAGTTAAAAGTATTAGTAAGTCAACATAAATGTTTTATTTTTATAGGAGCAATGAGCATCAAAAAACTGTCTGCAGCATTTCATTATTTGCAGCTAATTTAAATGTTAAAGTCAACACTTTTGTGTTGGCTCAAATTCCTGCATTATGTCATACTGATGTGTCATTTCCTTGGCATGTATTATCACTTCCTCTTGGCACATTGTTGAGAGACATGAAATACCAATTTAAGGTCTCAGTTCTGTAGGTTTACTCAGGCAAAAAAAAATATTTCACTGGAATAATTGGAGTTTTTCAGGTTCAAGACTCCAAATCTTAAGCTTTAATTTACAGGTGTGTAATTCTAAAAATCCTCTGCATTACACACCTAGAACTGGTTTTACTTCAATGGTGAGGAGCAGCTTTTATCACTCATTTGTATTTTGCTCTGGCAGCATGAAGCGAGTGTAAAACCAGACTCATGCTCAATGAGTTCCATGAGCTGTGCTGATTTACACTAAGGCCTTGTCTGTTAAGCAACTTCAGCAAGTAGCTGAAGTCTTCAGAGAAGTAGCCGAGTTAGTCTGTACAGGCTAAACTTAAAAAACAACAAATAATCTGGTAGCACTTTAAAGACTAACAAAACATGTAGATGGTATCATGAGCTTTTGTGGGCACAGCCAACTTCAGGTGACCAGAGTGTTGGATATCCAGAACCAAAACCTGTAGCTGAAGTCAACATACTTTGATCTGCTTACCACAGTATTTTAATAAAGTCAGCAGCTGATGCTCCTGGAAAAAAACGTAAAAAACAGCAAATAGTCCTACAGTCCCTTCCAGACTAACAAAACACACAGATGTATCATGAGCTTTCATGGGCACAACCCACTTTTTCAGATTAATGGAGTAAAGGGGTCCAGTTGACTCCACCTATTTTTCTCATTTTGGTGAAGTACTGGAGTTGATGGGAGAGTACTCTGTTGTCAGTTTATCACTTCTGCACTGATGCGATAAATCGAACCCTGCTACATCAGTTGCTATGCATCAATCCAGTAGGTAGTGCAGACATCCCTTGAGCATGTGGCCCTTTGTATAAATAGGCACCACACAGCTTGCTGTAGTGACTGCGAGATGCAATTAAGAATTCAAATCCGAACACTGGTCATTTGGTTGTTGTATGTATGTATGTATGTATATATTGTACTTATATGTGTATCTATTTTTACTGTACTGTGTGAGAGCTTACTTTTTTTAAATTATAGGTGGAAATGAAACAACTACAGAAAAGTTACAAGGCTTTGGCAGACCAAATGAACCTCATATTGTCCAAACGTTTATGGTACATCATGATAGAGCAGTTCCTGATGAAGTATGTTTGGAGTAGCTGTGGTTTGATTATGGTGGCTGTACCTATCATCACAGCAACTGGATTTGCAGATGGAGGTAATAAGACTTTTTAAAAAAAAAAATTCAAATATTTATTTTAAATGATCAGTTAACCAGTTGGGGCTGGAGTAGCCCTCTCATGTTGTGACAGCCCATCCATGGATGTGCCAACTCAGCCAGAGCAGCTCCCTTCTGTGGCAGGAGGGACTTCTCCAGCCTATCTGCAGCAGACAAGAAGAGACTGTTGCTCCAGCTCAGGTGGGCTGGAATACCTGCCCCACTCCCCGTTTCATTGGTTAACTGATTAAACAGAGTGTTTAACCGGTTAACTAATTAAAGGACATTTTACATCCCTAGTAGTGATATAAGGAGACCACATTTCATTTTAATATCATTTGTAGCTGCCATGCTATAATATTCAAATACCGCGTATGCCTTATCTTTGTGTAGCTCCTGGCATGAGTAAAAATTACAGGCAAACCACTTGAAGTATCAGTGACAAAAACGTATCTTTGAACTTAACCTGATGAACACAGTACATTCTGAATTGTAGGATAGGATCTCTTTTCAAATAAGGTGTCAAGGTGAATTGTAGATAAACATTTTATAAGTATTTCTTGACACATTTATTGTCCTTTTTAATGTATAAAGGTGGTCTCTCAAATTTAAAAAAAATAAATCTTGTATTTTATATTTGCAATATCAATATCAAATGCTCACTTTCCTCTCTCTTCAGGGGAGGCTCTAAGTAATGAAGTCTCATTAAGTTGTAAGCTTAGCTGTAGCTGTCATGTCCCAACCAAGGTTGGGAAGGCTTGTTAAGTCTCTGAATGTCTGCTGCTTTACTACTAAATAATATCCATCTAGCTAAGCTGTCTGACTTCCTGTTTTGTTTGTTTTTTTGCTGTGGCATTTGCTCATTATCTTAGTGTCTGAATGCTTCCCAAACATTAATTAATACTTATTTATTCTATTTTGTGTTGACGTGTGTAAGAGTCAGCATTGCCTCTCACTTGAAGTAGAGTACAGAAAGGGAACTGAAGCTCAGGTTACAGCAGGCCCGCCAATGGGGAGGGCAAAAGGAAGTTGTCCCAAGGCTGGTGATTATAAAGGTCAAAGGAGGTCCACACCAGGATCCCTGAGCACTTTAAATCACTACCAGAGTGCTGCACAACCACTCCGAGGGTTGTGGGGGAAGGCACCACGCTCCAGGTGACACTGAGGGCTATGGGGGGTAGTGGCATGGTGCACTCAGTGCCCCAGCCTCATCCAGTCTGCCTGAGGCCCCGGCCCTTCTGGGAACATGAAGCCACCTTGCTATGGGGCCCAGCATTGCTGTCAGCTCCCCTGGGTTACACACTTGTGTGATATCACTATTCAGGTCTTCTAAAGATCATGTCCCGGTCTTCCAACAATGAGAGCAAAGTAAGGTCCTGATTGTAATGTTGTTGCAGATGTTTTTTAATGGGGGGGGGGGGCAACTTGGCAGAGCAGTAAGAATGTGTTAAATGAAGAAGCAGTAACAAGCAAAAATCATTTTGCAGTTTACATGTACAACTACAACTCTTTGTTGTTTGAGATTGTATACTATCTTCTGTAGAAAGAAAATCCATTAAAATAGGAATACGATCATTTAAAAATTCCTGTTTAACATTTTTAGATACTGCCTATTAGACCTTAGAAACTGTAAAGAGTAGTATCCCAGCAATACCTAAGCTAAATAAATAGATAGCAAAAAATGACTTTGAAGTTGGCTCAACCGATCTCCACATACATGGATCCTAAGTCATATAAGATTCTCTATGAAAAGATCTTTCAATACTTTGTAAATGAAAAGCTCATTTTAAATGCAGTCCATTTAACCACGTACCTATGGATCATTTTCAGAACAGGTGAAATTTGTGCCTGTTGTCTGAATTTGATAAGGAATTTGGCAATTACAGGCAGTCCCTGGGTTACGTGCAAGATAGGGACTGTAGGTTTGTTCTTAAGTTGAATCTGTATGTAAGTCGGAACTGGCATCCAGATTCAGCTGCTGCTGAAACTGATCAGCAGCGGCTGAATCAGGACTCCTGGGGCAGAGCAGCTGGGGTGCTGCTGGGTTGCTCCAGTAGCGCCGAGGAGCGGTGCTGCGGGACCAACCGGCAGCGCCCCACCTGCTCTACCACAGGCCCCGGGCTTTGCTCCACGTCTCCCTGGTCTGCTGGCTCCCCCAGCAGACTAGGGAGACGGGGAGCAGCTTTTCTCGCCCCGGGGCGAGAAAAGCTGCTCCCCGTCTCCCTAGTCTGCTGGGGGAGCCAGCAGACCAGGGAGACGTGGAGCAAAGCCCGGGGCCTGTGGTAGAGCAGGTGGGGCGCTGCCGGTTGGTCCCGCAGCACCGCTCCTCGGCGCTACTGGACCAACCCGGCAGCACCCCAGCTGCTCTGCCCCAGGCGTCCTGATTTAGCCGCTGCTGAAACTGATCAGCAGCGGCTGAATCAGGACTCCTGGGGCAGAGCAGCTGGGGTGCTGCTGGGTTGCTCCAGTAGCGCCGAGGAGCGGTGCTGCGGGACCAACCGGCAGCGCCCCACCTGCTCTACCACAGGCCCCGGGCTTTGCTCCACGTCTCCCTGGTCTGCTGGCTCCCCCAGCAGACTAGGGAGACGGGGAGCAGCTTTTCTCGCCCCGGGGCGAGAAAATCCCCGTTTGTAACTGCGGATCCGACATAAGTCGGATCCGCGTAACTCGGGGACTGCCTGTATATTCTAAACACAAAAGTTTATGCAGGTCCATATTACATAAAAGAACCAGTAAAGGATAATAGAGCTTTAGTACTTAGTTAACCTAATTTCTGTTATCAAACTTAATCTACTTTCTGCTAAAATGAAAATAAGTGCAGCTTGGCAACAACCCTTAACTGATAAAGAGATTATTTAAGCACAGCACGTAAATGTCTCCTCCCTAGCTCTTTGCCCATTAATCAGAAACAGGTTAGGTGTCCTTTAAGGAAAGAGAGCCCGTAGAGAGCAAAGGAGCAATATTCCAACCCTGTTAACCTTACAATAAGTAACATTCTCTGACATCCAGAAATGGACATCTGACAAATATGTTTAAAATGCAGACAGAGCAGAAGGTCAGAAAAATGAATCTGACTTCTCCAAGTCAGTGATATAGCCTGTCTTATAATAGTGAAGGAGGAACATGTAAAATGTTAAACCATGGAACTTATTACAGAGCCTTGAGGAATTCTGCAAGAATAGATTCAAGATCAGAAATGCATTATTAACTGTGACAAATTGACCCCATCATGTGGTAAGAAGTAAGTAAACCGGCTATGCCAAAAATCCAGTAAGTGCAGCTCACTGCTGAAGGTAATTTAGTTGGAGAACTAGTACTGCAGCAGGAAAGGTGGGGAGCTCTGCCAGTGTTAATTCTGCCACAGCCCCTGGCAACCAGGTCAGGTGTGGAAGGCAAATGATTGGTTAAAATCTGAAGAATGGGAACTAGAACCATCATTGATGAATAAATCCTGAATTCAGGAAGTGTTTAAAATCAAATATCTAATGTTTAGAATTTATGACCATGCTTGAAATCAATCTGAAAGTGTTCACACAGATGGTTCTTCAGATAGGAGGCATTGTATCAGTGTAGCGATAATTTTTTCCCTGTTGTTGCCAAAATTAAGGTATTTGTATGTATTTAAAAATCAGACACCAAAGCTAATGCTACCTTTTCTGATATCTGTTTGCTATTACAACATGTAAGATAAAGCTATTTTATAATACTATTAGATAAATGATTTAATAATACTTGAGTATGCAAAAGGAATTCTACAAAAAGCACTTGTATACCATAATATACTGAATGTACAGGTTGAACCTCTCTAGTCCAGCACCCTTGGGACCAGACCAGCGCTAAACCAAAGAATTTGCCGAACCATGGGAGGTCAGTATTGTCTTGAAGCACTTCTATTACTTAGCCCTGGTCTACACTGGGGGATTATTTCAAAATACGTCCCTTTATTTCAAAATAAGTGAAGCGTCTATACCATCAATCCTATTATTTCAAAATAACAGACTGGTTATTTCAAAATCTGTACTCCTACTTTCCTGGGGGAACAAGTTTATTTCAAAATAGTTATTTTGGGAGTTATTGTTTAGAATTTAGCAATTTCAAAATAATTTCTTAATGTAGACATGCCCTTAGTGAGCTCATAGAAGATATTTAGAGCTAAACTAGAGCTAATTAACAGCACAGATCATTGAGAGCCAGGACTGGTGGCTGTAATACAACTTTATGGGACTGTGGGAAACCTGGTCACACCCATGATAACTGGACATCTGGCTAATTAAAATTATGCTGGACCATGGATGTTGCTGAACCGAGATTGCCAGACTAGAGAGGTTCAATTTGTTGTTAATTCATTGGAAATAAAACATTAATGAAATTAAATTATTATAATTAGGCACAATAGATATGTTTTCCTATAAAACAAATGGAATTAAATTTTATATGTGAGGAAAATCTTAAAACATTGCTAAAGCTTAGATACTAAAGAGAGACCACAGGCCTAGTCTGAACGGAAATAGTACTTCCTCTAATACAGAAGGAAAAGTCTCTGTGTGAAAAAGATTGGAGAAAATGACCAAGAAAAGTTATTTTGTGCAGGTCTGATAGTTTGATTTCACTCATGCATTAATGGAGAATTCTGTTCTGGATCTGGGTAAATTCCTCAGATATGCCCAATTTTAAATTCTCAATGATCATAAAACTAAAATGCTCGCTAGATCAGTAAAATTTGGTTAGCTGCCAAAAAAAAGTTGTTGTGTTGTGTTTTTGTTGTTGTTGTTGTTGTTTTGAGGTTTTTTTTTTTTTATACTACTGAATTAGCATTACTATTGAGGACTGAATTCCCTACAGAACCTTATTCACATCAGTCTTCCCACTGGAGTAAATATGACTATTTACACAACTGTCATATGAGCAAGGGTTTTAGCCTTCCTCAGTCAGGCTGTGATCCTATGTCCTTTTCTTTTCCCTAAAAAGGCATGATTCTCATTGTTTACCAAGTGTGTATATCCCTGTGTGCTGGATGACATACTTAGCATAACTCAAACTAGAAAATATGAACAGCCAAAGTTTTCTCGAATAATTCAGAAATTTAATTTTGAAAGACAAAGGCTGTGTATGAGAGTAACTTTCTGTATAATATTTTTGGTCCAAAATGTTTACCTTTATCTCTGGTGTATCTTCATGGATGTAAGTGGAGTTATACCAAGGGCAAATTTATCCAAGGAAGGGTTTGTTTGGTGGCTTGATAAATTAAAACAAACTAATATTTGGGTATCGGGAGCTGCAAAAGGAAGATACAGACAGGTACAATAAGATTTTGTACTGGTTTTATGTCTTCAAATGCTGCAAAATGACCTTCTCGTGGAAGAGAGGAAACCACTTCCTTTGTACAAAAATTTTGCTTTCGTTACCTACCGTATAACAGCACATAACATAACCATCATATAGCACATATAGGAAACTCTTCACAGATTTTTTTTTTTTTTTTTGACCAAAAGATCAGAATCTGCCTAATAGAAGATATTAATAACAATTCCTGATGTGTAAGAGTTGTCATTCTGAACCAGTTTACTAGTCTGGCTAGCCTGCAGTAGCCAAACTTCAGAGAGAGACAAAGCTCCATTTTGCTGCACCATTAACGAGTCTTTATATTGTTTAGGGAATGGCTAAG